AAAGATTATTAAACCTATATAGTGCAAAGGGCACAGGAGAAGGTGTTATGTTGTTTCCTTTGAGGCAAAAAACAAACTTCATGGACATTGTGTCCAAGAATCATCCCTGATAGATTGTGACAACATGGCAGAAATGGATGAATGAAGAAAGCAAGTAAGAAAACTTTTTCTAATTTATTTCCCCCCCCAAGATACTAAGCCAAATTTATCCCAGGTGTAATTCTGCTGAAAAAAACTGTTACAACAGGGATGAATTTAGCTCAGTAGATTCAGCAATTTTGCCACTCATGTGTTGCTCCTCCTGCTGAGCAAATCCAAAGATAGTACAGCCTGCCAGTCAAGCAATAGAGTATCCCATAAGTTCTTTTCCCCCTTGCTGGGCATTCCCCAAATGACCTTCCAAGATAACTAATCAAGATAAATTAACAACCTGGGTCCCAGAACATGGTTCTTTTCTCCACAAATAACTGCAATTAGGAGGTCAGCCAAATACATCTTTGTCCTATGAGAATGTCTGGCAATCCTTACTTGTGGGAAATAACAGTGATAATGCCAGATACAAGAGAGGGAAAGAGGAAAAGAAATAGAGCAGTAAATAAACTTTACCACACCAATCCCAGAAAGAGGGAAAGAAAAAGACAAAAGACATGGCTTTTTAATATATATGTCATACGTATCATAGGTCTACAACATCTTGAGCACCTCTAGCTGAAAGTTGCATCCAATTAAGTCATAAAATCCACCCTGTAATGTCTAAAAATGTATGTAAGCTGAACCATTTAGCTGTCATACATATTTTCCCTGCTGAGGCAGTAATAGGTCTAATAGGACCCTCTGAAGACACTACTTTGTTGTGATTTCAGATACCATTCATAGTGGATGAGGACAATTTTTCAACTACTTCTTGAAGTAATTCCCTTGTCCTATCCAGCTTCAGCCTGCTGCTTATGTCTTGGCACCGAAACATTTGTGTGATGGCACTAACTGCATCTGTTGAGAAAATGTGAAGTTGGGTGTCATCAACATATTAATAGTGTTGGAGCACATGGCATCTCATGAACTCTTCCATATATGTGTGTTGAAGACCAGAGAAACAAGACTGTTCCCTGAAGCACTGAATGATTGGCCAGTTGCACCACCAATTCTAATATGTCTTTCATGCTGCTCATTATCACCTTACTCTGTTTAAGGCAGTTGGATCTAACAGTATAAGCAATAAGGTTATGTCCATAGCCAAACAATTATCCATGAACTCTGCCACAGCCATCCTCATGTCTTGTTCTAAAGCCTAACTTAGGCCTTGTCTACACTACAATATTAAATCGACCTAAGTTAGGTCGATGTACAGCCACTGCAGTAATTACTACTGTGGTTCACGTTCACACTACGTCCCCTCTGTTGGTGGTCCCCTCTTACCAGGAGTGCTTTCACTGACTTAACTGTGTGGGGCATTTTGGGGTACTAACAGCTGGAGAGCCCTTCGCTGCTCCGGGGCTGACAGCCCTGGCTCTCCATCCCCACCAGCAGAGCTGACAGCCAACAGGCAACATAAGTAATGCAGTGTCTGCACAGACACTGTGTCACCCTTACTACATCGACCTAAGTGCTATGCCTCTCATGGAGGTGAAGTTATTAGGTCGATGTAGTGGGCAACTTACACAGGCAGGAGTAACACTGTAGTGTAGACACTTACAGAGTTAGGTCAACGTAAGGCAACTAACTCTGTAGTGTAGACCAAGCCTGAGATGAGTCCAGAACGTTAGCAACAACACCAGCTGTTTATGACATTTATTGACCTAAGGCCTTTGATTCCATCAATTGTGAAGTGTGATGGTTGGTGCTGTCTAGGTTCAGTTATCCATTGAAGTTTGTTCACATTCTCAGGCTACTTCATGATGGCGTGACCACCACCGTCCTCTGTTATGGGTTGGAGACAGACCCATTCACCAGACGTACTGGTGTTAAGCAGGGCTGTGTTATTGCCCCAACACTTTTTTTCCATCTATCTTGCTGTGATCTTGATTCTTATTCGTGACCACCTTTCTTCTGGAATTGGGATTGAGTATCGTATGGACGGGCAGCTCTTCAGCATCTTCATTCTAAAACTAAGGTCACCAGGACTGTTATTACCAACCTTCAGTATGCCGACAACTGTGCTATTCTCACGCACACTGAGGCTGACTAGCAATCCACCCAGATCTTTTCTCAGGCGCCTATCATAGCCTGGGACTTTCCCTCAACAATGGAAGACTAAAGTGCTCCACCAGCCTGCTCCAGCACAAGTTGCCCCCCTTCTCCTTCAAATTGTCATCAGTAGTGAACTCCTGGAAAATGTTGAACATTTCCCTTAGCCACCTTTCCCAGACAGCCAATCTTAATGTGGAGATTGAACATAGGATCCATTGTGCCAGCGCATCCTTCAGAAAGTTGCTTTGTTGTGGATCTATGGATGGAAACTAAGTTCCTGGTCTACAATGCAGTAGTCATCCCCGCTCTTCTTTATGGGTGTGTGACATGGATGACATACTGAAGTCATCTTAAGCGTCTGGAGTGGTACCACCAGCACTGCCTTAGGAAGATTCTCCTTATCAGATGGGAAGATCGTCGAACCAATGCCAGTGTTTTCTTTGCAGCTAACATCACCAGCGTTGAGATGAAGATTATGAAACATCAACTTCACTGGGCTGGCCAGTGTGTGCGGATGACTGATACTCATCTTCCAAAGCAATTCCTCTTTTCTCAACTTAGTAATGGTAAGAGGACTCGCAGGGGATAGAGGAAACACTACAAGGACACCCTGAAAGTATATCTTAAGGGAGGCATTGACCCCATGAATTGAGAAGAGCTGGTTGGCAATAGACTGCAATGCTGTTGCATCATACATCAAGCCTGAGCCCGTTTTGAAGAGAATCACCTGCTCAAGAAGCTGAGAAATGGCAGTGGAGGAAGGAAGGTGTACAGCAACCTGGCCAGCAGTTGTGCTCTCTCCAAGCAACCACCTGTCATATATGTGGAAAAATCTGTAAAGCATGGATTGGACTCCTCAGACATCTTAAGTCTCATCAATGACTTTTTTCCTCCTGGCAGACATCATCCTCGTATCGAGGGATAGCCGCCATCGCCAACAATGTGATTTTCTTGGGAGTCAGCTGCAGTGTAGTGCAAACTCTACCTGGAAATCACATGCACTCCCATCTACTAGTGGTCTACATTAAGCTAATTAAAGAATAAATGTGCATCTTATTAAAAATGAGATCAGCTGCAAGGAGCTGTTGTGCAAGTGATGCTCTGAAAGATAATTAATTGAAAGAGCACTGTGATACTCCACACTAACCTACCAGAAATGTGAGGCCCATCAGAAGGACAAGATAAATCCTTGTAGGAGTTGGACACAGCAACAACCAGAATGAGATCCTCACCATCCCTGCTCTCACCCTTTGATGCACTAAAGCAATATAACAGAGCCCTAAAAGCCCTGATTCTGACTGGGGGATCATTATCCTAGCATAAGTGCTGCAGAAGATAGCTGTAAGGATGCTCTCTAAAGACCCAATCACATGAAGGGCCCTCTGAAGACCCCATGGGGATGGGCTAAGGGGTGGGTGAATGAGGGTGGGAAGGGAGTGTCAGGTGCAGGGCCACAATACACAGCACAGCAGAGATCTCATGCAGTGCTGCAGCCTACAGGGCAGCCTGGGAAAGCTACTGTAATTTAGGCCCCCAGGTCTGTCCAAATTACTCTGGGAGCCTCTCTAGCCCTCAGAGCAGCCCAGGATCAGGAGGGCACAAAGCTGTCTGTCTTGAAGTAATCTTGAGCTGTTTCCTCATTTAAAAAAACAAACTTACAAGACACATGCTAATCACCTCTAATTAATGACTTTCTTTTGTTGCTTCCTATCCCTCATCCTTCACCGATATACCTTCTATTTGGATTCTAAGCTTTTCTAGCCAAGAACTTTGTCTTATATTTGGCTGTAAAGGGCCCGGTAAACATTTGAAGCTATTTCAGTTACAACAGATTCTCTGTAGGTCCAGGTCTACAAAGCCCAGGCCTAGTGTAGTTTCATATCCGTCTGTGGGATGCTTATGGACAATATTTTGCCACTCACTTGCAGAGTTGTTTTTCTTCATGAATGTGAGTTTTGCTATCAACATATAAAGGAATTCTAAAACTCATGAAATAACATTTTTCACTCACACATGCTAAAAGTGAACTTTTTGTACACCTTTACGTATCAGCATACTCTAACTCATAAGAGTTAGGGAAGAAACAAGTGGGGTCAAACCAATTATTTTTAGGATTGTACTTGAGCTGGAGGATTTCTTGGCATCAGTATAGAGTGTGCTAGTTCCCTGATACCATAATTCATACTGTGTTTGCTTTATTCATTGCAAGAAAGACGTAAAAAATAAATCTGTAGCAAAATAAGTTAACTGATCCATGCCTTTTTATCTATCAACATTTTTTTAAAATAAAATCATTTCAGACCTATATACTGTTGATAATTCTTAACTGTATATTCTCTCTTTCAGCTATTAGGGCCCAATCTTCTGAGATGCTGAGCACCTTAACTCCCACTTAAGTCAATAGGAGTTGAGGGTGCTCAGAATCTTTCAGGATTGGGACATTTACTGATTCCCTTGTTGCTCATTTCTTTCTGCTCCCTTAAACTCAAAACCTTATGGCCATTTTCTTGACCTCAGGTACATGCATGTAACTCAGTTTAAAAAACAACAATGAATAAAACACTTACCAATTTTTGGAATTAGGTTATTTTGAAGATAGAGGATTTTTAAATCTCGACACAATTTGTCAATGTATTCTAGTTTTTCTATTTCCTGCTGGTGCAAGGAGATTTCTTCCAGTGAAAAAAGTTCACGGTTGTTATGCTCTGCACGTTGTCTAAGAAGTTCTTCAGTGACTGCAAGACACATCACCATGTAATGGAAACTGACTTTATGGAGGGAATTTTCTGGTAATCTACTTGTAATCTACTAAGGAAGTTAATTAAATCTTTTCATTGTCCTTAATGAACAGACATTCAACACAAACACCAATTATAATACCTACCACTACAAAATTAGCAAGAGACATGATGTCTCAGCACATTCTGCCATGATAGCATTCACTGTGTGAATCAAATTGACATTATTTTTGACACAAGAGAAATAATGAAGTTGGCGGTCTTCCCTGGGGACAAAATTTGATCCTGCCCTAAACTGGTACAAATCCCATATGTCTTCATATAGGCCATGTTGTATGCTTGCTCTGAACTCTCGGTCTTCGCTGATCAAGGACAGCAACTGTGAGTGGGGTGCAGTGGAGGGAGAGAGGAGCAGCAGGTTAAAGGAACATTTATATGTCAGACTTTCACACTGCAAGGTGAGAAACTGAGGGTTACACATGCCTCCACTGGCTCACCCATCTCTATTGCAGTGGTCTCCAAAGTGGAGTGGATCCTTGGGGGTGCGCGGCAGGAGGAGCCCTTTTTTTTTTTTTTGCTTTGGCAAAAATGGTAGAGCCGGCGCGGCAGGGTGTGTGTGCTCAAAAATTATTTAGTGATAGGGGTGCACGATCAAAAAAGTTTGGAGACCACTGCTCTATTGCATCAAACATAAGCTACTTGATTTCACTTTCAAGACCCACCATGGCCTCTGCCCACCCTACCAATCATCTCTCATTCACTATTGAGATGTCAGCCTCCATCACTCACTTGTTACATTTTCAAATAAGCACCTTTGTGCTTTCTACCATGCTACCTCTTACACTTGGGAGGAGCTCCCCATAAACATCTGCAAAACTAACTCATCATCCTCCTTCAAATCCCTCTTTTCCCATAATTCCTAAAAAGAACTTGATAAAGATTAGTCTACTGGTATGCTGAGACCACTGCCTATCATGCTGACCAATAGTGTCTCATTGTTTCCTTGTACTCCCCCAACTGTCTGTATCCATCTGTGGTCTCTTGTCTTAAACAGATTATAAACTCTTTGGGGGCAGGGACCATCTTTTTATTCTGTGTTTGTACAGCACCTAGCACAATGGGCTTTTGGTTCATGACTGGGACTCCTAGAAACTACTGTAATACAAATAAATAAATAATAATTAATAATGTTGAGTCTAACATAGAAGAGGTCAAAACTAGAGAAGACTGAGTGGGGCAGCAGGTAGACATAAGATAGGATAGACCAAACTAATTGAGATTTGAATACTTGTAGGGTAATTTTGAATTGGGTTTGGACATGGCTAGAAAACCAATGAAGATGACAGAAGAGGAGGGCAATATGGATCCAATTCCTATAGTAAGAGTGGAATGCTGGCTGTAACATACAGCAGTGGTTCTCAACCTTTTTTCATTTGTGAAACCCTAAAAATTTCAACTGGAGATGGGACCCCTTTGGAAATCTTAGACATACTGTCTGCAGACCACATGTTGAAAACCATTGTTCTATGGTAATGACAACCTTTCACGGTCCCCTTAGACCAGCAGTTCTCAAGCTGTGGGTCGGGACCCCAAAGTGGGTCACGACCCCATTTTAATGGGGTCACCAGGGCTGGCTTAGACTTGCTGGGGCCTGGGACTGAAGCTGAAGCCTGAGTCCACCGCCCGGGGCCGAAGCTGAAGCCCAAGGACTTTGGCCATGGGCGTCGGGGCTCAGGTTATAGGCCCCCTGCCTTGGGCTGAAGCCTGGGGGCTTCGGCTTTGCCCCCCCCCCCAAGGGTGGTGGGACTCGGGCAGGCTCAGGCTTTGGTCCCCCCTCCTGGGGTCATGTAGTAATTTTTGTTGTCAGAAGGGGATCACGATGCAATGAAGTTTGAGAACCCCTGCCTTAGACATAGTCTGCAGACCAGTAGGGGTCTGCAAACCACAGGTTTAGAACCACTGGCATACAGGATACCCTGAAGATTAAAGGGTATGCATTTGGGAAAAACAAGGAAAGGCAATGTTGGAATAGCCAAGATCAGAAGATTATGGCACAGATAAAGATATCGGCAGAGGAATGGTCAAATTAAGAAAGGGGAAAGATATAAAGCCTCTTCTAGAAATAAAAAGCAAAAAGGAAAGATTGGTACCAAGAGAGGTTGAATTCTGGAGATATAGAGCATGATTCTCCACTGCCTTGTACATTTTATAGTTACTCTTAACTTGGTAGCATTTTACGCTCACTGCACAAGTGTACATGACTATACAAAGTGCAAGGCAATGAAGAATTACGCCTACTGGCTTCCTGATCTTGCTTGGAAAGATTGATAATGTCAAAAATCACCCTGAGATCAAAAAGAGAGAGACCTATGTCCAGCGGCAATTAGTTCACTAATATCCCAGAAAAAAGCAGTCTCAGTATTGTGAAAAAGTTGAAAGTCAACTGAAACCAGTAAAAGCAGTGATCAGAAACATTTTCCTCCAAACTTTAATAATGTCAGAGAGATAGGAAACTGGATGGTAGTTAGGAAATGAGGGTTTTATTCTGAAAATGGGGACACCAGACAAAGATCCATTGGAGCTAGTGAGTGATGATGTCAACTGGTGACAACAGGTGGCAATTTATCCTGAAGGTGGTTAAGAGTGGGGTTCCAGTAGTGAGATGCTTTCATTCATAGAGGAGAAGACATCAGGGAGAGCTGTGAGGAAGCTGAAAGAAATCAAAGCAGGTGTTGGGCTGCAGATAAATCAAAAGACAATGATAAGCCTGGATTTAAGGCAGCAGTAAACTTTTCTAACATTATTTTAAGACTGAAAATACGACAGGTTCAGAAGATGAAGCCACACTACTTCACACAGCAATATCTTCTCTCAGCATGCATCTGCCAACTTCACACAGAGATGTTGATTTCCAAAGCACTAGTTTAGCCCAGCAGGGGACTGGCAGCATAACAGCAGTGGCAATATACAATTAAAATAGATTAAGAGAAAGTGGAAAATCATAGAGTAAGGGAAAGCCATGAAGTCTAGAATCTCCCAGTGTTCCTGTTCCTAATTGGTCTATATCAAGTTACTCCTGGGGGGGATTCTGCCGGACTGCGCGGCTGCAGAAAATGCCCCCCGCTCTGCAGAATTCCTGTGGTTCCCTGCAGAAAATGGCAGGGAAGCAAAGGGAAGCCATGGGAGGGGGAGAGGGTGACCAGGTGCGCAGTTTGGGGGGGGGGGGGTTGCCCCTCAAACAGAGGTGAAGCATGGGGGGGCACATGGGATTACGTGCCACTGCCCCTGCCCCCATTTCTGCAAATGCAGAGCTGCCCAGCTGAAGGAGGCTGCGTCTAGGGCTCCGCTGACTCTGCAGCTGAATGCAGCCTCTTGGGTCGTAGTGCCAGTTGTGCTCCCCTTCTGTGTACTGGGAGCCTTCCTATTTTTTGTGGAACAGTGAGTGCCTGTGGTGGGGCTGGGTAATGGGGATGGGGGAAATGAGGGAAGGGGGGGACAAGGGGGTGGGGGGAAGAAAGGGGGTGAATAGGGCAGGGGGAAGGGAATGTGGGAGTGAGGGGAGGGGGATGGAGAAGAAAAGGGGATAGAGGAATCGTGGGGAGAAGCAGGAGCCCGGCATGCAGCATCCCCTCGGCAGCAGTTAGGACTCCCCCGTTAAGCAGGCCCATCGAACGCTCACCCTGACAAGCCCTACCCCCCTACACCTGGGCCCCTCCGACAAGCTCCCCACACCCAGACCCCCAGCCCACTGAGCCCAACCGGGTGCACCTGGACCCCCACCCTATCAAGCCACACACCCCCAGCACCCGGACCCCCCCAATAAGCCCCCACACCCAGACCCCCCCGCCAAGCCCCATCTCCCCACACCCAGACTCCCCCCGCTGAGCACAACCACCATCACCTTGATCCCCTGCAGAGTCCCATTGCCCCTGTACCTGGAACCCCCCAACGAGACCTTGTGCATCCAGATCTCCCACTGAGCCACCTGCACCCAGATTGCCCACACCTGGATCCCCCCACACTGAGCCCCTCCACACTTGAATCCTGCTGGGCTGAGCCTGCCCAGCCACACCAGGTGCACCTGGCACAGAGGGGCAGGGCACTGGGGTGTTTCTGGGGCAGGCCCAGCCCTTGCACTGTGTCAGGTCAGGTGCAGCCTCACTGTCGAGTCCCTGTACTGGGGGAGGTAGGAGATTCAGGGTGATCTCCCACCTCAATGCAGGCAGTGGCCTGTGCTCCCCACTGCCATACTGGAACCACATTTATTTATTGAAAAATAAAATTTGCAGAATTTTGCAGAATTTTAAAATATTGTGTTCATCATTTTTGGCACAGAATTTTTTTTTTTTTTTTGGTGCAGAATTCCCTCAGGAGTAATCAAGTGTACCACCTTTCAGAGTGCACCATTTTACCTCTCAAAAATTATGATCTCATAACAGAGTGACTTTTAATGTCAGTCACTTTGAATGCCATTAAATACATGGACTGGAACGTATTTCAGGTTGTTTCCATGAATTAATGATAACAGTTTACTTTCCCTACTTTTATTTATGATTTTAAATTATGATGTAGTGGTGTCTATTTTTGGTTTGGAAAAAGAAAAAGAGACGTTTATAAAGTCAGTGTGATATCTTTAGGCCGCAACATGTACATTCTCCCCTACCCCGAAGTTCTTCCATTAGCAAATGTCCTTGTGGAGACACTTTGATTTTCGGAAACTGACCACTTTTACTGAACAATAGGGGGGAAAACGGCTAAAAAGGTAAACAAAGATGAACAGCTAGACAGGTAACTACTCCCTCCATCGAGCAGTGCACAATTATGTTTGCAAGTAGGATTCTCCAGGCTCTGGGGGAGTCTGGGGATGGATAGTGGCTGAGGATGAGGAGGGCGGGACGGGAGATGGGGAAGCGTAGCGACTGGGGATTAGGGGGGAGGGGATGGGTAGGCTGGGGGAGCCTGGGGATGGGTAGTGGCTGGGGATGGAGGAGGGGGAAGGGGAGAAGCTGGGGACGA